AAACGACCCGTGTCGAAACACGACACGGACAGCTCCGTTGAGAGAGCGTTCAAGCAGCGACGCTAATGCGAAAGATGCGAGCTTGAGAGAAAAAGTACAATGCGTCGGCAATGCGAAACAATGCGAAATTAAACAATCAAACTCTTCTGACTGACTTCCAACTGATTCTGTTTACTTTTTGTGTTGTGAGTACTAATTCCAACCCGGAGTCACGCGTTCACACGGCTAAAAATGAAACCAGGGGACTCGAGTTCGTTTTCGGGCGCCCGAGTCGTTTTCGCACCAACTCTGGAGTGGTGTGGGGAAAACGACTCGGGTCGTTCCGACCTGACGAGTCGTTTTGCGTACGCTGAGAAAACGTCCGTTCAGTGAACCGCTCGTCCGGGACGAACATTTTGACACGGGTCCGTTTTCCGACCGAGTTCCTTCGCTCCGTTGTGAACGCGGGGTAATAGGGTCTGAGCCCCCGCAGGGTAGCTGTCGGAAACGTACCGCGTGGTAACTATTTGATATGGTTAGGAGTTAGGCGTAGGCGACTCCTAAGACTCGTTAGTGGAGTCAGGCGCTGTATGGTCCGGGCATATTACTATTAGATGAGTACCAGGGTACGTTCAGTGCAGTACCCTGGGGACATAGACCCCTCTCAGCTTTAAGATAACCTGGTAGTCGGTGCCAGATTACAGGGGAAGTGGCTGGGGTACGCGCAGCCGTCGTTTGTTGAAATCCCCCTTTTGGCGGTTTGTTTGAGCTGATGCAATTGTTTTGCGGATCTTTCGTGATGTAAAGTTTACAATTAGATGTTACTTTTCATATCTAAGGTCGGAGTTTTTCTAGTTCATCAGAAACTGCAAAATGGTGAATTTATATCTCAATGCATTGTATTCGAAGATCTGCCGGCCATCTTTGCTCATCGTTTGCTATGAAGCGAATAGACTGCGCGTACGCTCGAGCCTCGTAAATTGGGGGAAATACGGCTGCATACTCCAGGCCACTGCTATACTATTAGACAATAGCCATACCGCGGCATACTGCTTAGAGTTAATTGGGATTAGGCGCTGGCCTCGGGTTACGCACGGTTCGCAAGCATCACGGACCTAGGTCAGACGCCTACAAGGCAGGCATCAGAAATGTTCCACAAAAACCACTGTGATCTTGTATTGCCCTAGTATTCTCCTAGAGGCAATAAGCCTTCCTGGCTAAGATTAGCCATTTTATCGAATGTCTCGCCTAAGCTATACTCCATGTCAACGTGAGTCTTTGCTTGTCCACCAGGGCGCGCGTTGTCAGAAACTTCGTAAGTTTCAGCGATTCAATTGTTTAAGTCCTAAGTGATAATGTTAAAGGCATAGATATTTCCATCGATTGCCTGCAAAAGAGTTTGACGAATGCTACAGTAAGCTGGCACTTTGTGCGTAGCTTAATAAGCCTACATTTAGCCTTATACCGCCAACCCACGCGTCATTAGTTTGTCAATATCACTGCTAATTACTAAGAACATGTCTTAACTTGGAAATCCGTAACATTCGTCAATCCTGGCCGCCAACCGTAAAATTCTATTTGCCAACACAAATACAGCGATCGATTTCGGTTCGGGTGACGGCTTCAGCATGTTGCAGGCAGGATGTGAGCATCGAAATTGTTGTTTTTTGTCCCGCGTAAAATTGTTTGCCTAGTGACGGCAGTGACGGCATATACCTCATTTTAGCCTATTTATATTGCTGAATCCAGATGCTTCGTCATATCTTCATTACTTGCCCGAATCCCAAGAGCTAAAACCACTAACGTAGGCGGAATGCGCCACTCAGACGCCCAAGGATCGAAATCCACTGCACCGCGCGCCAGCATTTACGCTCCGGCAAACATTGTCCCGGTGCCATGCACTATAATCTGTATGCACACCGCGCTCGCGGTTACGCCGTCTACCGGGCCGGCACATGGCGGGTTGTAACTGTCACAAACGGATTTATTTGACGCGGATTTCCAATTGGCATATTTCTTAGTAATTAGCAGTGATATTGGACAAACTAATACGCGTTTGGCTATAAGGTAATGTACTTATTAACTACACAAGGTGCCAGTTACTGTAGCATTCGTTAAAATTGCATAATCAATGGTCGTCTTATGCCTTTAAGAGAAAAGTTAATAGCGTTGACAGAAACCTATCGTAACTAAACTTACTTAAGTGAAAACTCACGATAACAGGAACTTTATAATTTCATGTCACAAGGCTGCTGATTGGATGAGAATCGATCACAAAATTTAAATTCATACACATTTATTGTACATCACAGTAATTTATGCATATTATGATGGCTAGCCACATATAAATAATATTTGATGAAAAATTACGTGGTCATGAATTTATTCTGCACAACAAGACAAATTCTCACACTGTAACGCGAGACGCGAGAATCGTGGCAAGCGTTGCAAACCTTTAAAACAAGAGATCAAATGCCATATGTCATTTGTAAATGTATTGTTTTGTTTTATTAGCGGTAGATAATTAATGATTTTGACGTGTTTTTCAAGAAAAACACACATTTTATTCATTATTATAAAATATAATATCACTATAATTGTAATTCGTAGTGTAAATGTGTTATTTTCAACTTAATATTAAAGTTAATGGAGGGTCTAGGATCTCTTAAGTTAAGAGAAAAGTTACGAGAATTTTTAACTCTTTTAACTTTACGAAGTTTCTGTCAACGCTCTAAGAGAAAAAGTTAATGTTAAGGTTAATGTTAAGACTAATTTGTTTCTGACAACGGGCCCCAGGGAAATACAACGCCAAAACTGATTCAAAACTCCTTACACCTACATACAGCTGTAGCGATAGGGACGGCATTACTACGAGTGTGTGTTACGAGGTAAAGCGGTCATGAAACAAAGCATACGATGGGGAGATAGACGAGAGACGCGAGTAGACATGCTGGAATAAATTCACGCTCTTCTGTATATTTGTGTGTTTTCATTTATTTGTGTTCATCACGAACACAACCACACACAACAACAACAATGTAGTATTACAATGGACAGTGAGTCTTTGAGGCCTGATTGGTATCACTGCATCCATTTACATATAATATACTAGTCGAGCAATGATAATTCTGTGATAAAAGAAGCGACTATGTATTGGTTCAAAGTTCAAAGCTACCTTCTACAATACATATATCATTAGGCTGACGTGTAATTAGACTAGATGAGGCCAATGATTGCCCAATTGAATTTATAGCTGTGTTATTCTATTATAGCAACTAAAAATACTGAGGCATCCTACGATACTGAAGTTCTTCGCATCATGCCAAAACGTGGAAGGAACGTTCTTAATAACAGAGCAAGTAAAGCCTCTAAAGCTCGTACTAGACGCTCTGTCTGCTGCAGAGATATGTGCTGGACTATACAATGTCCTGGAAGCAGCCTGCTTTCTTCATGAAAGGGTACGTCATCAATTTCAATGTTTTATCACTTAGGAGACAAGGTTGTTTCATTATTATCAACACAACTTAATAATTAGACAAGATACTGATGAATTGTGAACCTTTATGTAGAGTTCGTGTGCTGTCAGGTAATAGTATGTATAACTGGCAATCATTTGTGATGGGTTGTATGCCTATGACTACGATCCATCATGCTCCAACTTGATGGACCTAAATAGCTGTTTGGAAGGATTACGTAGCTATGTGTCGTGTCTTACAGAAACTTCAGCATGTGTGTCTGGTTGGAGCTTATATAATGATGTTTTCATACATCTGCTTTCAGGGTGGAGTGTGCCACAACAACATTTCTGTGTCTTCCATATATGTTGCACAGGATGGCAGCTGGCGATTAGGTGGCGTTGAGCACCTGTGCAAATTTCAGGATGCAACTCGAGCCTTCTTGGATAAGTGTAGACCACTGAGGGATCCTATGTACATAGCACCAGAGGAAAAGGTGCATACATTCAATGATTGACTAATGCAAAAAATATTAATATGCTGTAGAGTCTGTTCCATAGAAGTTCTAGCTTCATGCTCTGTAACGTCCTCCAACGGTCCCTCAACCATTTCTGTTTCTTCCCCCGGATATTCGTTCTGCTCATTTAGTAGCTCACTGAAGTACTCCCTCCATCTGTCCATGATTTCCTTTTCTTCCACTTTTATATCTCCTCTGCTATCTTTTATATATTTTCCTCCTGTGACATCCTGTCTCCCTTTTCATCTGCTTTGCTATTTTGAATAGATCTGATTTCTGTTTTGATTTTCCTGAAATTTCCGTCCATTCTTCCCACACTGATCGATTGCGAAAAGATCAGTATGGGAAGAATGGACGGAAATGGAAAAAAGAAGCTGTACCACATTTTCGTGGATTTGGAGAAGGCATTTGATCGAGTACCAAGAGAAGTGATAAGGTGGGGGGTACCGAAAGTTTTGAATTCCCTTTACACTTTTCAGGCCTGTGCATCTTTGGTGACACCATTTGTTACACTCTATGCATAAAACTGAATTTACTCCCACTCCTCTCCCACAGCATCCACATAGCCATCTTCCTGACTGCACATGGTGCTCAGAGCCCTTTCCTGTTACCATCATCTTTGTTTTCTCCAAGTTTACTTTCATTCCTCGTCTTTCTAACCCCTCTCTCCAACTCTCAAAGGCTTCCAGTGCTTCCTGTTCAGATTCTGCCGTCAATACCAGGTCATCTGCATACGCTAACTCCCATGGAACCCCTTTTCTGTTTTCTCTAGTTGCCTCATCCATTACTACGATGAACAGTAAGGGACTTAATACCGAGCCTTGATGTACCCCTACTCCAATGTCAAACTCCTCTGATGTCCCTGCTGTCGTTCTAACCCTTGATCTGGTTCCCACATACAGTGACATAATCGCTGTTATCATCCTTTCAGGTACTTTTTTCCTTTTTAAGGACATGCCCTCTTCTGCAAGCCCAGGGAGGAAGGTGAAAGAGGACTGAGGACTACGGGAGGAAACATAGAGGAAGTTCATGAGTTTTGCTATCTGGGTGATATGGTGGACTGTGAGGTGGGTACAGAGAGAACTGTGAGAGTTAGAGTAGCGGCTGCATGGAAAAAATGGAGAGAGATGGCTAGTTTGTTAGTAAACAGAAGTATTCCGTTAAAGATCAGAGGCAATGTCTATGAAGCTTGTATAAGATCAGTTTTGTTATATGGGGTGGAAGTGTGGGCTATGACAGAAAGCGTTGAAGATGTATTGAGAAGATGTGATAGAAAGTTGCTAAGATACATAGCTGGAGTTAAATGGCAGGATAGGATAACCAGTGAAGAAGTGGCAAAGAGATGTGGTTTAAGAGAGATACAGAATAAAACTAGACAGAGAAGACTACAATGGTTTGGGCCTGTTAGAAGGGAGACGGAAGGAGGAGTACTGAGATTTGTGGAAGAATTAGAGATTCCTGGAAAAAGACCGGTTGGAAGACCAAAGAGAACATGGATAGGGACAGTGCAGAAAGATCTGAAGGACTTGAATATAGATGAAGGATCAACGCAGGACAGAGAACGGTGGAGAAGGATCATCGCAAGTCCAACCCCAGGCACGGGAAAAGATGGACTATAAACGAAGATGATGATGATGATGATATAGAGTCTGTTCCATGTTTTACATCTGGTGTAGAGGCTCAGCATGTGAACTATTCTGGTCACCATTATGGTGGCAGTGCATACATGTGTATGATGTTAACAATCAGTTGATAAATGTGCATAGTTCAGTTCAGGGTGATGAATGGGGTAAAAATAGAATATGGTATTAAAAGAAATTATTTGTTTTTATTCTAATTCAAGAATATGGATTTTGGCGGTGAGTCTTTTTGTAGATTGGAGATTTTTGAATAAGCCAGTTGTCATTATTTGGGAGTTAGATACTTTTAGTGTTGATGGGTTTGAGGTCAGTGATTATCATACAAATGATGACCGACAGTGGTACGTGATTCCATCTCTGTGTACAATACTGTGAAGTTTATCACGTTATCATTCCAGAGTGGGCATGTTCTGAATACACTGGAAAATGGCGACTCAAGAGATGTGTATGCATTCGGCGTTCTGGCCAACGTGATGTTAGACAGGTTAGGGGAGCTAGAAGATATTACTACAGCATTCCACAATCGCATCGAGAACGAGTTTCTTAATCCCGATCCTCGGCAACGACCCAAGCTGAAATCCTTAACAAATGACAGAATTTTTCGGTAAGCAGCTATTTACATGTTTTTTTGTCATGCTTTATTGTAATTGATAGCAAGGAGCTAAATATATTTAGCTCCTTGATTGATAGGAGTGTGTGCATTGTTGTTTAAATGTTCACACTGGTATCTGTTAGTCCATGATGAAATCGGTCATGCTTTTAATTACTATTTTGTTTTCTGTAGGAATGAATTCTTGGAGGTTATAAAATTTCTTTCCCAAATCACGATCAAGCGAAATGAAGAAAAGGAAGAATTTTTTAAGTAGGTGCAAGAGTGACTTTTCTACCTTGACTTAACTCCCCTGACTTACTGTATAGCACTTTCCTCAACAGACAGCAAAAGTGATAATATCATTAAACATTTTTTACTAAAAACGTATAATTGCCTCCTTTTTAGTGTCTTTTTTTTGCCGTTTAGGTGTGTCGTGAGGAAGTTATACCATCTGTCACCTGAGCTGGTGGCAGCTAGATTAGCCATACTTCTACTGACTCGCTTTGTGGTGCTCGATGCTTCTGCCGGTGAACACCTATATCTTCACCTGCTCACCCCAGGACCAGGTAATTGCCTCAACAGTGCTGTAAAGCTATATCCTATAGTGCCATCGACTTAACTCCCATAGCCATTTTTAATTCCAACACAAATTTGCCTATTTCTTTATAGTGCCATCGACTTAACTCCCATAGCCATTTTTAATTCCAACACAAATTTTCGCATGTCGTAGAGCATGGTGTCGATGGAGACACATCTTAGTGGGATTTTCTTGAATTTACCTTTTTGTTCTCGCTTCTGTTCTCATTGTTAATACGCCGATGCGTACGTGCATACGTAGGTAGGACGCTGCTGTTGCAAATGTCAGTGTATCCACTGTAGTAGGTACGACGATGCTGTTGTGTTTTGTTTAGACGAATCACGTCGTGAGTACGTCCCCGGTGCATTGAACCCCGTTCTACCGACGCACCTGTACAAGCAGTACATCATCCCGCAGCTGACGAAGATGTTTAACGTGAGAGAAACGCACGTGCGGTTGCTGCTGCTGAAGCACTTTTCCGCATACCTTGAACTCTTTCCGAGAGACATCTTGCGACAGGTTATACTCCCACAGGTAAATAAATAAGTTTTTTGCCTATTTGAACTTGGTCGAAAAACAAAGTTGTGGTGCATATATTACCTATAAATGTGATGTGATTGTTCTTAACAAGATGTGTGTGTGGATGCATTGTGCGTGCGTTTGTGCGTGCGTTCATTCACACGTGCGTGCGTGCGCGTGTATGGTGTACGTTGATGACAATTTCATACATGCATTGACAGTTGCTGCTTGGTCTGAAAGACTACAATGAGAATATTGTGGCTGCAAGTTTACGAGGCTTGGCAGACATCGTTCCTTTGGTTGGTGCTGAATCAGTCATTGGTGGCCAGCAATCTCGATATTTCTTTGAAGGACAACCAAAGGTGAGACTTGTTTGTACTGGGACCAGTTGTAGTTATAATGTAAATGTAAAGTAATGATTTATTTGCATATTTTATATTATATTATCCATGCAACCAATGAAAGTAGTCGCCTCACCTGATATTGTGAAGATTTATCGTGAAAAAAAGTGAATAAATTTAATTTAATTGTTTTTAGAAATTAGTACTTGGCTCAGCCTCACAAGACAGGAAGAAAAAATCAGATAGCATCCCCCATCTTACTGCGGTGAGTGGCGTGATCAGTTTCCATGGTAATGGCACAACATCTGTCAACAATGTCAGCAACAAGACATCGAGAAAAGCGGAGGTAGAGAAGAAGCGAGAGGAGGCAAGGAAACGCAGAGAGGAGAGGAGGCGATTGAGAGAGGAGCAGCAAAAGGCGAATGAAAATGAAGGTATTTTCGTTTGAGTAATGATATGTTACGATTTTGCAAAAATTATGCAAGGGAATCTCTTGTATCTATGCAGCAATGTTGCTGAATGCCAGAGAATTTTTAATAATCTATGTGCCAGTGGTTACTCATTTGAACAGATAGCTTGTGAAGGTCATCACAATACAGGTATACAAATTGAGTTATATAGACAATCTGTATAGTATAAGAGTCATTCAAAGAATGTGCCAAAAGTGTAATTTGTCTACACATCCTTTCTTATCAGTTTGGTGGCGATTTTCAATATTTACCCAGCAAAGTACACGATATATATGATATATCTCCATGCATTTTTTTCAGAGTATAAAGCAGTTTCTTTAGCATTACAGGTTTACATGTTCTATAGTTCTTTCTTTCTCTCTTCTTAAGAGGACTCATGCTCAGTACACACGTTAGCTATCTTTGATTATAACGTTGACAGGCATGACTGGCAGGGAAAAACAACAGGTGTTGCTGTGAGGTGCCAGCAGCCCAAATATAACCACGCAAATTGGGATATTACATATTGTGTATGCTTGTTTGTGTACATATATATCACTTTTCATCAGTTAGGAAAGCAGTATAGTGGCACTGATCTTGCAATTGCCTGGGGGAGGGAAGATAGCACTATGTGCGGTCGGAGCCAGGTCAGGGGTAGTAATGGTAAGGTCTGGTATGTGCTGAGTAGCTGACTTCATATGGTGCATATAGCACAGCATTTTACACTGGGTACATTTTTAGCTCACCTTGACATCGTCAAGATGAGCCATTGCCATGGGTCGCCGTCCGTCGTACGTCCGTCCGTCCTTCCGTCAACATTTGGCTATGGTCAACGATAACTCAGGAACCGTTTGACCCACATGTTTGAAATTGGGTATAGTTGTTACTGCTATGGGAGAGGTTAGAACTTCCTATTTTGGAGCACGCCAGTCGACGTACTTTCAAGCCACGGCAATTTTTTGGTAAAAATGGAAATTGCCATTAGTCATTTCAGGTTCAACGGATTTTGCTCATTTTTGGTATGTGAATAAATAAGTGCTGCCCCAAAACGTATTACAGGGGTTTTGATATTTAAAAGGAAATTATGCAAATTAGGTAGGTTTTGGCAATTATATAGCATATTATATAGACACGCAGATAACAGTCTGTGGTGTCACACTCGTCTGGTTCGTTTTACAAGATTTCATTGACAATATCTTTAATGCAAAATTGGTATTTCCTCTCCACTCTGCCGATAAAATGTCTATATTAGAGTAAAGTTTTACAAAACATGTCGGAACGCAGCATAATCTATTTATTTCGAACGCCATCGCTAAGAAACATCAACGCGGTTATAGCGCCATCTACCGTCACAAATTGTGATTCATTTTGGTTTATAAATTATTATTCCGATATACAGATTGCTACCGCCTAGAAAAACTCATACGAAGTAAACACTTCCATGCAACCAATTAACCTTTGACAAAAGTAGTGTTATGGGCAGGGAAACATCATTGTCACGTGGTATATAGCAGCTACGTGGAATAAGCGTATCCTCTCAATCTTACATGTTACACATCGGGAGCTCTGCTTTTAGGCAGTGCCTAAATCTGAATATTATACAAACGTTAAATGGCAATCATTTAGGTGTAACGCCATCACTCGCCCACATCTCAGACTTTCACATCTCAAACATTTATTTTCACATAAAAAATTACACATAATTATCAAGAGTATATAATGGGAGTTCTCCCATATATACTCTTTGTTTCTATAATGAACGTCGATGGTTGCTCAATTAAAACTGACTTCTTCTCACTCACTCATTTGTGTCCTTTTTTGTGGTGAGCTACAGTGTCATTGACACTTTCATTTAAAATTGCTATGAACATGTGTCCGGTCTGTAGAGGTGACAGCTGAAAGAGGTTTGACCACATTAGCTTTCTACCATAGTTGACTATTTATTGCCCCTTTTTTCAGAGAGCACAGGTGCTGAAGCAAGTGAAACAGCAGTGGCAGACAGCAATTCTACTAGTGAGTCAAGAGTCGATAGTGATACTTCAATGAAACATGAAGTAACCGATACTTGTTCTCCATCGAAGAACGACAAAGTGAATTCAAGTATCGCCCACGCATCATGCAATGATGAGGAGGAAGAAGATGAGTGGTCGGATTGGGATGCTGTGGAAGAGGGACAAATCCCTGAAAACGTGGCTTTCAGCAGCAAAGTTGATATTGACCTGGAAAGTAGGGAAGAAACGTTAAAGAGTTGTAGTGCTAGCTCGCTTTCTGAAAAGAATGGCAGTAAGGTCACACTGCTCGATCTCGCAAGAACGCAAGGACCTGTTGCTGACATTGGGAACCTTCTCCCTAAGCTCAATAAGTCTTCGTCGAAGACAGGAGCACTAAAACTAATAGGTTCCAACACAAAACCAGTGGAAAAATCTGACCAAGTCAAATCTGGGACTACTGGAAAAAACTCCTTTACATCGCGCGATCAAATAGAGAGAGCTGGAGTGAAGAACGATTTGAGCTCGTCAAAGAAAAAGACCTCGCGCACGATCGAGGCACCGAGAAGTACAGATTCAGCTCAAAATAAACTACGTGTGCCAACCGGTGGGTGCAACGTAAGTCCCAGACCGTTAGGAGCAGAATTCGATATTTTGTCCCTGGAGTTCAAGGGTTCAGTGCCAAAGCAGGACATCGATTTCTTCTCTGACATGACACCAAATATTCGTCAGAAACCGCAGATCTTAGTGAAAAGTGTCGGTGAAGAGTTCAGCACAGCTACGACCTCACCTCCATTAGGATCGAGATCCTTGTTTGCTGCACCCAATGCTGACGAGGTATTTGAAGCCATAACACAATCATGTTAGTGACAGGAAACGATTAAGGAATCACACTTGTATAACTACCGGTGTAGGGAAGTTGTTATCTTACGATATGTTCTCTGTGATTGTGATTCAAACTTGTATGAAAATCAGTGCAAGGAAGGTTTTTAAGACAATGCTGTGATATATTCTGTTTAATAATTGCACCTAGATGAAAATCGGTGCAAGGTTGTTATGCCTATAGTGTGAAATATCTTGGATTTTCTTGCTTCAGGTGTCTGGTTGGGGTGATGGTGAGGAAGACATTACATGGGATAACATCTGAAGCTATGAAGACGTGGCCACCTACACCTAATCATGAGTAATTCTCACGACTAACTGTTACAATATACTAATCGCAAAGGCTATGTTATATATCATGACAAAAATAGATCGACTAGATCCATTTTCAAATGTGGTTATGATCATCTTTATTAGAGCAGCTGTGACTTGTGAGCTAATCACATTTTTTTATTTTTACATGTGTAACCAGGTGTCCACGTTTAACAATGATTGAAGGATATATGTATACCATTATTACAGGTGTCAAAATTAAGAAATTTCCACTTTTTGGGACAAGCAGGTCTGCTGTCAGAAAAGTGTCATACATATATGCACGCACGCACGCACGCAGCTTTGCATGTGAAACATCAACGTGTTAAACTATTTTGCTAATCGTTGGACATCCCAGTATTTAAATTGTGTCAAATTTTCTTGTCATGTTTTCTTTGTATATACTGAGTAAATGCTAAGTGAATAACGTGTATGGTGCAATGAGAAAACAGGTGTTATGTATGCATAGGGTATATGGCTGTTGTTAGATTAGCTCCATCCTGTGTAGCCCTTGCTCTGAAACATGTGCTTATACAGAGCTATGGCTACACAGCTATTATTAGATGGGAATATTATTTTCAACAATGGTGACTTTATAATTCATATCCATAGGGTATACCAAGGTTTGATATCGGTAATAAAAAGTTATTAAAGAGCATTGTATTAAAACCATATGGTAGTTCACTGTATATCATTTGCCCACGAAGTTTAGATGTAATAAATTATTAATAATCTTGTTTGCCGGTTTGACAAATACCTACTTGTTCTCACCACATTCCAAAGCCAAGATTAGTTCAAGTATCCATATTAAAGTCCAGCATTATTGCTATCCTAAGCCGATGTCATGCAATGCAATTAATTGTCATTAGTTTACATACTACACTAGAAAAAGTGCAGAAAAACGATTGCAAGCAACTCAATGAATTGCTAGCCCCCTACTTTCTAAGTGATTGCAATAAGAATGAAAGTGTCAATGACACTGTAGCTCACCACAAAAAAAGGACACAAATGAGTGAGTGAGAAGAAGTCAGTTTTAATTGAGCAACCATCGACGTACATTATAGAAACGAAGAGTATATATGGGAACTCCCATTATATACTCTTGATAATTATGTGTAATTTTTTATGCAAAATGGAATTTTGCATTAAAGATATTGTCAATGAAATCTTGTAAAACGAACCAGACGAGTGAGACGCCACAGACTGTTTGTTATCTGCGTGTCTATATAGTATGCTATATAATTGCCAAACCCTACCTAACATGCATTATTTTTTTTAAATATCAAAACCCCTAGCCCTTATTCATTCACATACCAAAAATGAGCAAAATCTGTTGAACCTGAACTGACTAATGGCAATTCCCATTTTTGGCAAAAAATTGCCGTGGCTCGAAAGTACGTCGACTGGCGTGCTCCAAAATAGGACGTTCAAACCTCTGCCATAGCAGTAACAACTATACCCAATTTCAAACATGTGGGTCAAACGGTTCCTGAGTTATCGTTGACCGTAGCCAAATGTTGACGGACGGACGCACAGACGGACGGACGGACGGACGCACAGACGGACGGACGGACGGACGTACGACGACCCATGGCAATAGCTCAGCTTGACGATGTCAAGGTGAGCTAAAAATGAAAGTGTCAATGACACTAGTATAGCTCACCTTGGGTGTGATAGAAGAGGGAGATGATATTTAAAATTGTTTTGGGGATATGTTTTGGGGCCAGTCCTTATTCATTCACATACCAACAAGAGCCGCAGAGCGTCTGGGCTCATCTGAGGTCTGTTGCTACGATTATAAACGTAAAATTTCAGTCGTGCGTAGTACCACATTTGTTAGGCGCAGATATGCAGACAGCCGCAGTTGCAAACACATCATTTTAGGACACGCCCACCTATCGCAGATGGAGGGTACGGGGAGGGGTGGGGGAGGGTGAGGGAACAGGCGGCGGGGAGGGGGAAGGGGGAGGGTGGGGGGGAGGGTGCTCTAATAGCAAAAGCAGTTCACTCCTTTGTTAACAGTCAACAAATCCATGTTTAACCGCTCCTCCTTGAGGGTCAAAAGGTTATCCGACACTTACTCTTCGCATGTCAGCAGAAGGGACATTTTATGGTCTTTTCAATAAAGCGATAAAAATGCTAGAGTCACCGCTGAAACAAAAAAGTTTTTTCAATCGCTCCGTCAGACACATGTCCTCAGAAAAATGTCTAAAATCTGCCCTGTGCCCATTGACTTTGACCTGTGACTCCAATTTCGCACAGTGATGGCTTTTCCTACCATGATGCTATACACCGACTATCACGAGCCTAGGTCGAGCCGTTTGATTTGTGCCGAATTCTGGCATTTCCTCCTATACCTTAAGTTAAGGAGTGAATGTTCCCCCTTCTTTTACACCTTGACCTTTGACCTTTGACCCCCAGCCTTCGACATCCCAACTCGTTTTGACGATCCCCCCAACTACCGAATATCGTGACCGGCTACGTCGAGCGGTTAAAGATTTGTGCCCAACTGTTGACGGACGGACGCTCGGACGGACGGACGCACGGACGCACGGACGATCAAGCGATTCTACAAGCTGCATCTGACTATGTCAGATGAGCTAAAAATGAGCAAAAGCCGTTGAACCTGAACTGACTTATGGCCATTTTCATTTTTGCCAAAAAGTGGGCGTGGCTCGAAAGTAGGTCGACTGGCGTGCTCCAAAATAGAATGTTCAAATCTCTCCCATAGGAGTAACAACTGTATGCAATTTGAAACATGTTGGTCAAACGGTTCATGAGTTATCGTTGACCGAAGGCACAAACTGAAATGCATAGGGAAATTGCCAAAATTTGCCCAATTTAAAAAAATATCAAAACCCAGTGATATGTTTGGGGCCAGCCATTCATTCACATACCAACAAGTGCGCAGAGCGACAGGGCAACATCTGGTGTGTCTGGTGTTCTGCTGATAAATTGATTTGTGCATAGCAAGACGTCCTATACATACGCAAACTCCACGACAACGCATGGCGCTCTCGCTCATGGGCTCAACCTCAGGTTCCTGAGTGAGCGTAGGGGCACTGCATACAGTTTGATACATACTTCATTTCTAACCAAAAAAACAACACTTCAAACTAGTGTAATAAAATTCCAATAGAATGCGGGCCGCTATCAAAGGCATCGTTGTTGCATCGGTTAGGGTTATATCCATAGATATCATATAATAAACAACGTTGTTATGATGATATCTATGGTTATGCTGCTTATATCACACCCCTCACAGCAGCCTATCCAGAAACACCGCACCGATGCATGTATGCATGGCACATCCATTAATATATATTTCAATACTGCTTAATGCCGAGCTGGTAGAGCGGGTGGCGTTACTTCTGAAGGTCGTTAGTTCAAATCCCATCAATATTTATCTTTTTATTTTCTATCTTTATCCATTTAACTATTTTTTTTCCAATTAAATTTAACGCAAATATTTACATGATTTATTTACAACAATTTAATTTAAAAAATCTTTTTTAAATTAAATTAATTTATTAGGTTAATTTAATTTAATTAGGGTTAGGGAGTAGGGCGTAGGCTGCGGTGGTTTCTGGGATAGGACCTGCTGTGAGGGGTGTGATACAACCTCGACCCGTTGCATCGGTCAGCCAAAGCATCGCAGCAATGGCAGCTGTCGGTGTGACGACGGATTGCAAAAAGCAGGAGCGAATAATTACCATATTATACTTATACATAACGTGCGTTCTATGGTATCAGGTAATAAGGTACATTAAACCCCTTGCGAGGCACATCTGCGCTCGTTAAAAAATAGCTCAATGGTTGATACAACGAGCAGCTCGTGCAAGATTACACAATTTACAAGGTACAAGGTAGGCCAGTGATTAGTAGACCGAATAAGCTCAAGAACGACACACTTGCGTCTATATTGGGCCAAAATTATGAGAGAAATTCAGTCTGGGAAATCCGCAGCCTCACTCCTGGGTATTATTTTGAGTGCTAGTGACTGTATTCCAACTATTCATAATGTAGGGTACCGGTACACTACAGAATCTCATATATAAGTCATCTCATTATCTCCTAAGTAAGCGTTGTTCAAGTAAAAGTTATGTGTGGAATTTCACTGTAAAATGGGAGCTTTCCACAACCACAGGTACTCGCCAACGTAGTTGAGAAACAAATCAATGTTTAACCCTCCTCATGAGGGTCAAAAGGTTACTCGACACTTACTCTTCGCATGTCAGCAGAAAGTACATTTCATGGTCCTTTCAATAAAGCGATAAAAATGCTAGGTCACCGCTAAAACAAAAAAGTTTCAATCGCTCCATCAGACCATGTCCTCAAAAAATGTCTAAAATCTGCCGTGTGCCCCCATTGACCTTTGACCTCCAATTCCGGCACAGTGATGGCTTTTCCTACCATGATGCTATACACCGACTATCACGAGCCTAGGTCGAGCCCGTTTAGATTTGTGCCGCAAATATGCATTTCCTCCTTACCTTAAGTTAAGGAGGGAATGTTCCCCTTCTTTTACACCTCTTGACCTTTGACCCCAGCTTCAACATCCCAACTCGTTTTCGGATTACCCCCCACGTCCCGAATATCGTGACCGTACGTCGAGCCGTTTAGATTTGTGCCCAACTGTTGACGGACGGACGCACGCTCATGCGATTCTACAAGCTGCATCCGACTATGTCAGATGAGTTAAAAATAGGCAAAAAAAAACGTTGAACCTGAACTGACATAACCATTTCCATTTTTGCCAAAAAGTGGGCGTGGCTCGAAAGTAGGTCAACTGGCATGCTCCAAATTAGGACGTTCACATCTCTCCCATAGGAGTAACAACTGTATGCAATTTGAAACATGTGGGTCAAACGGTTCTCAAGTTATCGTTGACCGTAGCCAAATGTTGACGGACAGACGGCGGACGACGCCCCATGGCAATAGCTCATCTTGACGATGTCAAGGTGAGCTAACAAGAGGCAGTAGGGTTGCCAAATCTAGAATACCAAGTGAAATGCAAGATACTACAGTAGTAAAGTCCACGGAACACCGACAGACCTTTTATAGCTTTTTAAGTAAAATTGCCAGTGAATCGGCCAATGAACGATGCGAGCTTGTATTTTTGGGAATAACAATTGGCACAATTAACCTGCTAGATATTTAGTGACCAAATTGCCTGCAGTATAGTACAGCATGTACTATCAAAGGCATGTTTGCAAAATGACGAAATTTGACTGAAATAACATGGTGTTCCACATTTAACCATGATATTAGCACTAAAACAAATGGTAAATGAAACTCATCTCTGCCAATACGTTTCATACCTTAGAATTATCAGAACAATTACAATTAAAACAAAAAAATTCAATGCAGATGCTTTTTTATTTCTTACAAGTATTGAGTACAGGAATTCAACAATCTCAGTCGTCCGCAGATTCCTGCAGCTTTTTGATGAAGGCTGCCTTTCTCTGCTTCACACGATCCATGTATTGAGACCTTGTCAGCTTCTTCCTGTTCCACCTGCAATCACACAAAGACACACTCAATCTTTGACCAGAAAGTTTTAAAAAGGTAAACTGAATCGCTCGCTACCCTGGGGTCTTGGCTAGGAATAGCCTTGGGTGAATACCATGCTGGTGGCCGTGGGAGGGATGTGACTGTCTTCTATCCACCCCCGTAGTGGCTGTGCAGGCCTCCTCCTCACGCATGTCCAACCTTTGACCAGAGTCATGGTATGCGAGAGAGCCATTAGAAGCAGCAGGAAAGCCTGCGCACGAATCCCCGGCGACGGTGGTGTGACGAGCACACACCGACGGCATCGTAAGAACCGCGACAGACTATTGAATCAGCGAAATAAGCAGTCCACCTGAATTTTTTCCCGCGAATACACTTTTTAAACAAGAAAATATAATTCTGCGACGCAGAGGCACTGCAAGTTACAACGGAAAACGGCGGAGCGCCTTCATATGCCACGCGCCGTCACGAGTGCGTCAATACTGCGGAGGTACACTAGCGACCCAATCGAATGTGCTGACTGCAGGGAGGACCAGACTATGGGACATCGCCTGGAATGCCCCCTTATTACCACCAGAGCCCTATAGACCTGGGAGACCTCAAGGCTTTCAACCACCGTGCCAGGTCCTGTGCGCCGCAGCAGCTAGGTCGAGTGTAGTGTAGTAAGTTAGTAACCCAAGAAGAAGAAGAGCCTAGCGGCGGAAACAGCGAAAGGCCAGGATGCCGCACTCACCTCTTGACCTTCTGCGTCTCGTCGCGCGCGGGCTTCGACTTGACGACGCGGTCAGGATTCTCGCGGATGGCGCGGTGCGCGTTCTTGTACATCTCCTCGAGCGACTCGGGGCTGACTCCAGCGCTGATGAAGCGTGAGAACTGGCGCTTGTACGCTTCGTCGTCGTTCTCCTGCAGCTGGCTCATGTAGCCCTTCACGTGCTGCCCGAAGATGTGGCCGCGGTGAACCTCGGCGCTGAACGACTTCGAGTCGACGTCGTAGCCGGGGAATCGCTTTGGTCAAACGGTTCATGAGTTATCGTTGACCGAAGGCACAAACTGAAATGCATAGGGAAATTGCCAAAATTTGCCCAATTTAAAAAAAATATCAAAACCCCAGTGATATGTTTTGGGGCCAGCCATTCATTCACATACCAACAAGTGCCGCAGAGCGACAGGGCACATCTGGTGTCTGGTGTTCTGCTGATAAATTGATTTGTGCATAGCAAGACGTCCTATACATACGCAAACTCCACGACAGATGGCGCTCTCGCTCATGGGCTCAACCTCAGGTATCCTGAGTGAGCGTAGGGGCACTGCATACAGTTTGATACATACATTCATTTCTAACCCAAAAAAACAACACTTCAAACTAGTGTAATAAAATTCCAATAGATAGCGGGCCGCTATCAAAGGCATCGTTGTTGCATCGGTTAGGGTTATATCCATAGATATCATATAATAACAACGTTGTTATATGATATCTATGGTTATGCTGCTTATATCACACCCCTCACAGCAGCCTATCCCAGAAACCACCGCACCGATGCATGTATGCATGGCACATCCATAATATATAATTTCAATACTGCTTAATGGCCGAGCTGGTAGAGCGGGTGGCGTTACTTCTGAAGGTCGTTAGTTCAAATCCCATCAATTATTTATCTTTTTATTTTTCTATCTTTATCCATTTAACTATTTTTTTTCCAATTAAATTTAACGCAAATATTTACATGATTTATTTACAACAATTTAATTTTAAAAAATCAATTTTTTTTAATTAAATTAAATTTATTAGTGTTAATTTAATTTAATTAGGGTTAGGGAGTAGGGCGTAGGCTGCGGTGGTTTCTGGGATAGGCTGCTGAGGGGGGAGGTATATAAGCAGCATAACCATCGATATCATATAACAACGTTGTTAT